TTTCCCCCTTACTTTTCCAGCAAAAAAAAAGGGGGGGGGGCGTGGCGGGTGATAATGTTAGAATGTTAGAGGGAGAATTTACAATTGTTTTTCTTTATGACCTGTCGAGGTGTAAAATTGTTTTGCACTTAGTGAATTTCCAAACAGAAAAGTTCTATTAGTTCACCCCCGATATCAGGATACACCCTGAACCACGAGTGGCCCAAGGCCAGACGCTCTCTTATCAGAGCCCAGTATCATTGAGGAATTTACAAAGGCAAACAACTTGGGGTTTGTTTGGTTTTTTTAAAGTTTTTGTTGGGTTTATTTTTTGTTGTTTTTTTTATTGAGGGGGTTGGTTTGCTTTGTTTTCTTTTTAGTTGTATCCTTGGTTAACTCATGTGTCAATGATTCTTAGCGCAATTTTTTTTCAAACCGTCAGTAAAACGCCTCCGGAGTAGGAATTGTACACTTTAGCTATGATAAATGAAAGTTGTGTGGTAAAAAATCCAAGTTCGAATGACATTTAAAGAGATTTCAGTTCGACGCGTCGCATGATTTTCTCCTTCTCGTCCTTGCCAATCTACGACTAGTTGACATTTTCGAAAGCGTAATCTTCTCCCACGACGGTGTCTGTGGTATTAAGGTTAGGGGCTTCGCCGAAGCACGTAGGAGAACCGAATTCGATTCCCGTGTTGGAATTTTTTCTCAAGCACTTCGGTCTAATCATTCAGATTGCATGAAATGGCCAAGAATATCACACTGGTACTACTCCGTGCCCCAGCATCAATAGCAACGTACAGAGGGGGAAGGGGGGGGGGGTAGAATAATTCTTTAAAGTACAACGTGTAAGTGAGAGCATTGCAAAACAGGACATTATGATCATCCTGGGAGGTTTCAATTCCAGAGCAGGAAAATAGAAGTCACTGAAGAACAAGGACCAGCTATTATTTTTCGGCTAAGAAAGAGGAAGTACACGTGTTAACTTCTCAAAATCAAACCAGCTATCAATAATAATGAAGAACATATTTTTAGAAACACCCAAGAAGAGTGTATACGAAGACATCGCCAGAAAGAAAAACTAAATACCAAACTGATCACACCTTGATTGAAAAGAGGTGGAACTCTACAATATAAGATGGCACAGCCAAAACACCGGCGTCTTTGGTGTAGTGGTTAGGCGCTTTGCTGTCGCACGCTGGAGACCCGAATTTGATTACCAAGTGGGGATGATTCTTATCGGGTATCTAGGTCTTTCTGCTGGAATTGCTGTATCCCTCTCAGCCGAGGTTGACACTGACGAGAAGGGTCGGAAAATGGCCTCCTAAATTATCTAAATTGTGTCGATGGGGACATAAAAATAAATATATTGAAAAAACAAAAAAGGAATGAAAACAAATGCTGACAGGGACACAGATCATAAACTTCTGGTTGGAATGCTAAAGCTGAAATTGGAATGTGAGAGAAGTCTCAAGACCCAGCCGGTATGATATAGAAAACTACAACCAAAATTATCAAAGTTGAAGTAAATGTTTGTTTCCAAATACTATTCATGGATATCAAAGAAAAAAATACAAACGAAATTGTAAACGAGGCACAAACATTTTGGGTTTTTTAATGGAGGTAGATAAAAGCACCTAAAGAAATGAGCTCAAGAAACCCGCTTAGAATGACTGATGAAACGTTGAACGATATTGGAGAAAGGGGGGAAAAAAATGAAATCCAGAACATACAGCAAAAGAGGTAGGACGATTTGACAGAAGACACTAGAAGAAGTGCCCTGTTGAAATAGAAGAACGCGTGAAAGAAAATGGAAGCAGAGAAATATACGAAGACCCAAACAAACATACCTAATCATTCCAACATCGCGTTGGTGTAATTAATTATGAAACGGGCAGAATTTTAACAGAATTTGAAAACATGTTAGACATAGAACGGATTCTGTAAAGGAATGTACTCAAACAACCAAAAAGCAGTCAAACTACCACAAAAGAAGACACGAAAAGCAAAACATGATGATGAGAAACATTCGGCACCACTCAAATAAGAAGTAAGAATGGGCTATCAAGTCACTCAAAGAGGGCAAGGTTCAAAATGTGATAATGTAAAGGCGAAAGTGGGAAAAGCAAGTGGAAAGGAGGGAATGAGTATTCACTACAGGTTATGCACGAAAATATTATGGGAAAGCTGGCAATGGCCTACAGAAAGAAAAGGAGAAATCTTAATACCATTGTCAAAGAAGGGAGATGTACAAATGTACTTCAGTTTAAAAAAAGATTATTTCTGGTCAGTCACGCAAGTAAATTAATGTTGCTGAAAATCAGAATGAAAAGAATTGAAAACAAGTTAGAAGCAGAACCAAAACAGTCAGGATCATCAGAAGGACATGGCACCACCGCATGAACAGAAACATCGAGACGAAAATGCCCATTTGTACTAGTGTTTCATCAACTACAATGATTACATCTAAATCTAAAGATGACAACAATCTTGGACATAGAGCAATTCAAAGAAGAGGCAGTAATAAAGGTTGATAAGGAACCAGTAGAAAGAGTGGACAGTTTTGAATATCTCGGAACCAGGATTGCTCCAAATGTGAAAACGACTCCTAAAATGGGACGGGAAAGATTACATCCATGTGGAAAGAACAATGCAAAGATACAAAAATAAGAATTCCTTGAAGTGCCATATATATGGATGTGAAGCGTAAACTATCAATATACAAGATACAAACTTGATTATAGATTTCGGTATGAAATCATGTTATAGAAGAATTCTGAGAACATCGCGGAAGCAGAAGCGGAAGCAGAAGCGGAAGCAGAAGCGGAAGCAGAAAGTAAAAAAAGAAGGAGTAACAAGAAGAGGTATAGAAACGCCAGCACTTCTTCAGAACGTAATGAAACGTCGACATCTTGTTTATCTAAACAGTATTGATGGGGACGTAAAATACCTACATTTTTTTTTATTTCCCTTCCCCACAGACAGGTATAAATGATAACGTAAAAGAAGGAAAAAAGCTAACGATGATACACCAAAGTAAATACCGCGTATGTAAGGCATGTCTGATCAGAAGTACTGCTCAAGCGCGGGGTTTTTTCAGTCGTAAATGGGGTTAACCTCCTGCTGGTGTGCTACAAATTTATTTATTACCTATCAGCCCATTTGGAAGAGAGTAGGGGACACAGAGGCAGAGAGGGGGGAGGGAGAATGAAATAGAGGTGTGACAGAAAGAGGAAAAGGGAGAGGGAGAGAGAGAGAGAGAGAGAGAGAGAGAGAGAGAGAGAGAGAGAGAGAGAGATAGAGAGAGAGAAAGAGAGAGACAGACAGACAGACAGACAGACAGACAGACAGACAGACAGACAGACAGACAGACAGACAGACAGACAGACAGACGGACAGACGGACAGAGTGGAGTTGGGAGGAAGTCTCAGCGCATGCGGAAGAGAATTTGAGGAGGCAACTTATTCGGGGCTTCAAAAATACCACCAAGTTTCTCTCATAAAGTAAACATTTCTATGGAAAGGCCCAGTTTGTGAAATTCAGAAGCAAACAAGGACCATACGACAACTGTGGGTTTTTGTGTCTCGGTGTCGTGAAGGACTGTTTGTGAAACTTCATCTTTGGCTGGGCGACAAAAATGATATGTCGTGTCCGAAAATATTGCAGAAACTGCGATCATGTCGTCTTTCTGCCACTTCAGCCTTACGATAGTTACACTAAACGCTGGCAGGCAGGGCATCTGTTTTGTTGCTGGGTTTTTTATTGTTTGGTTGTGTTGGGTTTTTTTAGTTGGTTTTTTTTTTTTTTGGCTTTTGCTTTAGAAAAGCACTCTACAAAAAACATACACTGGGAAGGAAAGAAGATATAAAGGGTAGGCTGTCCCACAAAAAGGGGACGCAACTACTAACGATGGGGAGGTGTCACTCATTTGTTACAACCTCTCTGGTTTGAAGTTGGGAGGACTGTTTTCTTCCTACTTACGTTGACTCCTGTCTAGCTTTCTTTTCAGTCATTTTTTAAAAGTATAATTAATATAATATGATTTTTTGCTATTGATTCTAAACGAAAGAAAACCTCAACCATCAACCAAGTTTTGTTTTTCGTTCCAGTTCCAGACGCTCAACGAGGACAATTGAAATTGGGAAATTTAAGAACTGAGAGCAAATCAGCATCATATAAAAAGATTCGGTGATAGCATCTTCACGGTAACGATAATGAGAGGAGGGCCACGTCAGAAATGTGTGCAGTTTGAAAAACTAGTAAGTGACACCCCAACCATGCCAACCACCGTACCAGCAACCATGGTTATAAATCCCTGCATAATAATATGGTATCACCCGCCATCTCCCACCCCATCATAACCTCTCTCTGCCCGGCTTCGAAAGCCATCTGCACTGTCCATCTAGCTCCCCCAAAAATAAGTCCCACCCTCCTCAGTTGGTGCCTCTGCTAAAATAGTAAACAACTTACATAGATGACATCACCACTGCGGGTACAAGAGAGACAGCTTTCATATTATATCTCACTACCCTTTTTAATGGCATCTGAAAATTTAAAAGCAGAACAAACTGAAAGCTGCAAAATATACACAAGTACACATACCCGTGGTCATGTACACATAGATACTCAAATACACACAAACACGCACACACAAGCATACACAAGCGCACACACACACGCATTCACGTGCACTGCGTTTGAACCTGAACTCATACGCGCAGACCGTGTTTGTGTAAGATTACTGCCATGTTTAGAGAGAACAGGAAGTGATTATGGAAGCCCCTGATCCAGAAATGAAAGTGAAGAAAATTAGTAGAAAAAGAAAATAAGAAAAGACAAGAAGAGAAAAAGACAAGGTCATGTAGGTCGTTATTATGATTAATTAAAGTTAAGATAATTAGCAGATTAAAGGAGAGAGGTGGTTTATGAAAAGAAGAATGGGATAATGAGGAGAAAAAAGGAGAAAACCTCAGATGCTTTGTAGACTCTAAAAGAGACCATTTTTGGCCCAAGCCACTCACCATCAGCTCTCCATATCATGTGAGTCCTCAGACTGCCAGTCGTACAATTCCGAACTAGCTGATTTTTCACAATACAAAACACAAAAAAGACCTAAAAAAATACGCAATCTTTCACAGAAAGGATTACGCACTTTGATTATGGGAGTTGCCTGAGATTATTCGTTAGTAATCAGCCTCGTTCACTAAGAAATCGGATACAATCTATCACATCCTGTATGAACGATAAGCAGACTTCAAATCATTCGTAGACGTAATTACGCTCATTCGCAAACAGAAATTTGATACAACCGAAAACATCCGGAACCGACTTCAAAGAACAAATACAAAACAAATCCTGGTAATCCAACGTTTTCAGAACCACACCCCTAGGTTCCTGGTAACGTATTTGCACGTAATTATCTCTTGCATTAATCGGATTGGCCGGACCAAGTGGACATCTCTCCACTGATGAATGTCTCATGAGCTAAGACGGCATTAGTCGTTAGTTTGAAATATCGAACATTTGTGGATTCTTTTAAGGTCAATTTTGCCTATACTTAGTATCGATACCACGAATGGAAAACGTTTCGGCATTGCAAGTGTATTTTTCACTTTGGGGATTGAGAGTGAGGGTGCGTGTGTGTGTGGGAGGGGGAGGAATTATGTTTTGGTATTAATTAATGGTTTTAAAATATAGTGCAGACAAACGGCTTCGCATGAAATGGATGATGTATTCGTAACTGACTTTATTTAAGTTTCGAAAAACTTGTTATTATTGTGACAGTTTCTTTTCTGTCTCTTATAGGCAATATCGTAGAGGATTGGATGAATCATGTTAATGTGTGAGAGTTACCGATCGTATCGCCGGCTAGCTTCGAATACTAAGGCAGAGTCCAGTGGAGAGGAGATGAGAGGAGAGACAAACAGAGAGAGGGAGAAGAGGGAGGGGTGGAGAGAGCCAGAGACGAGAGAGGAGAGAGAGGAGAGAGAGTGTGCCGGGGGAGGGGGGAGAGAATCTTTCTATGACGCTTCCGCTTAGCGGAGAGTATAATCCTTGAATTGACAATTAGCGCCGACCTGGTCTGCTGTCGTGTTTCAAAACAAACGTCGCTGGGATCCTTCCCCTCCTTACCCCTCTAGCATTCACTTCCCTAACCTTTTCCCCCTTTTATCACAAGCAACCAAACCTCCCCCTCTTTTTTCGTTTCATTGACCCACCCCTTTTTTCTCCTTTGTTCTTTTTCTCTTCTCACCAGCACCCCTCCCCCCAAACCTCCACCTCCATTCACTCTTTCTTTGGCACAAGACTCCCTGCACTGAATGAATCATTCAACCTCCCTCGCCATCCCCCTTTTCAAGTTAATTTAGTCCTTTCTTTTTTTTTCTTGTCTCCCAAAAAAGAAAGTAACACAGCATCCATCCCCCATCCCCTATTCCCATCTGTCATCCAGAGAGAGAGAAAGAGAGAGAGAGAGAGAGAGAGAGAGAGAGAGAGAGAGAGAGAGAGAGAGAGAGAGACAGATAGAGAGAGAGAGACAGAGGGAGAGGGGGAGCACGAGAGAGAGAGAGAGTGAGACGCACGCAATCTCACACACTTACATTCTGCCAAAAACAAAGAGTGAAAAAACACGCGCGCACAAAGGTTTTTAAAACTGAAACAATGGCAAAATTAAACCAAACGTGCTACTGTATATCCCAACCTTTTAGCCGTTCTCTTTCTCTACCCACCACCTCCGCGGACAGCCCCCCCACCCCCACCCCACCTCAAAAAAAAAACTTTCGAAAAAGAGTAATTGCGTTCAAGTTCTTTGTGTGCTCATAGTTCACATAACACTCTCCGGAAAGGGAGAATTGTATGTATATTTAGAAAAAATTAAATTGTCTCCTAAAGGATACCTTTATATATATATATATATATATATATATATATATATATATATATATATATATATATATATATATATATATATATATACAACACTCAATCAACTGCTGGGGTGCCAATCCCCAGGGGGTTATGGATGGAAGATTTGGGGTGTGGACGGGAGTGGGGGGGTGGGGGGGTGACACCACAATTTCCTTGATTGTCTAACTAAAATAAAACGTAAGCACGTCTCTTTCTCTTTCTCTCTCTCTTTCTCTCTCTCTCTCTCTCTCTCTCTCTCTCTCTCTTTCTCTCTCTCTCTCTCTCAGTCTATCTATCTATCTATCTATCTATCCATCTATCTCTCCTCGTCTCTTTCTCTCTCTCCTTCCCTTCTCTCTCTCTCTCTTTCTTTCTCTCTCTCTCTCTCCCTCTCTCTTTCTCTCTCTCTCTCTCTCTCTCTCTCTCTCTCTCTCTCTCTCTTTTTTTTGTCACTCTATGGAGGCATAGCTATTGATATGTGAATATAGATAGATAGATAGATAGATAGATAGATTACGTATATACATACATATATATATATATATATATATATATATATATGAATGTGTGTGTGTAGGTGTGAAAGTGTTTAAGTGTGTGTCTGTTTGTTTGTTTTGGTTCGTTTTTTGTGTTGTTTTCGTCGTTTGTTTGTTTGTTTTTGATAAGTGGTTTACCTCGCTCGCAACTGCATAAGGTCACATGAGCGCGCAGGACACACGAAACATTTTCAATTGGCAGGAAATTTCAAATTTTGCCCGGGTGGCGGCTGAAGTCTACTCTTATCGATTTAGGACCACCAAGGGATAGTTAACGTGCGCAACTTTCACAAGGGACCTCGAGATTTTTCGCCCTTGTCCGAGAAGGCAAGGTGTAGATCCTTCCTACCAGAAGATCAGGAGTGTGGCTGAAAGACAGCAGTAAGAGGAAGCCAGGGAGTAGCAGTAGAAAGGCTGCAGAAAGAGTCAGGAGCCCTGTGGAGGGAGCAAAGGAGGTGAGGAGGGGGGGGGGAGAAAGTGGAGACGAAAGCAGACGACAGAATATTGCAAGAGAGAAGGAAAGAAGGTAAATAGTGAAGAAAATATTTCGATCGCTACCCGGATTCGAACCCGGGACCTTTGAATGAGAGGCGAACACCTTAACCTCTGGGCCACGAGAGCTTCCCACTGTTTGTGTGTTTCTGTTTGGAGAGAGAGGGAGAGAGAGAGAGAGAGAGAGAGAGAGAGAGAGAGAGAGAGAGAGAGAGAGAGAGAGAGAGAGAGAGAGAGAGAGAGAGAGAGAGAGAGAGAATAATAAATATGAAACCCATCCTTGCCCCCCCCCCCCCCTCCAACATCCAAACACCGATTTAGAATTTTCTGTACGATACCCGCTCTGTAGAGGAGTGAACCCAGACGACTCAAAAAACCGCGGAGCCCAACACACGACTCAGGCGGACAATCTAATCTATTTCCAAACACAGCTGTTGCCAGGCCACGCAGATTTGACCGACAAACTCTGTTGACCCTGGCCACATCTCAGTGAGAGTTGCCGAATTGGCCCCATTTAGTTGCTTGTTTTGTTCTTTAGGTTTGGGCTCACTGTTAGTCTTCAGTTGAATTAAAAAGAACTTTTGAGGAATTTGGCTACTGTTCCGGCGATCGCAGTTCGAATCCTTGCTCAGAAATGTCTTAATTTTGTTTTTTTAGGAGACTTCTAAGGAAAGCTCATTCATTTTTGTATTGTTGACGAACATTGGTCCACAGGTTTTTACTTCTTTACTAAAATATAACATTGCGGTTCAAAATGATGCTGAACTCAGCTTTCAGACAAGTTCACAATTTGTTGATTTACAGGCTGTTCGTTAATTTTGAGAATGATTTGACGTGCGCTGAGAGGCTAATTGCTAAATTGGCAGTTTGGCTGGAATACGGGTTGGTCGATTGCTTAACTCTTTGTCTAGCGGTTTCTGTTTTGTTTCTTTGATTAGTCAGTCGGTTAGTCGACTGGGCTCTTGTCAAGTGAGCTAACTGTTAATTGAGTGACTGGTTTGCATCAAATTCCTATATTTCTCCAATATTTCCAAGAGGATTGATCTAACATCTGAATGTTTAGTTCTGCAGCCTACACCCTTGGTTTTCAATACGGCACTGTCTGGACATTTGGTGCTGCTAGGTGTTTGACTCTGTTATATCCGTCTCAGGACAGTGTATGTTTTATTAGCGTGTCTTCAAATGGCTAATCATTGCAGTCCAAATCCCTACTAAAATAAATGAAACCAGAGCTCTGGAATATACCAAAGTTTGCGTTTTAACATTATAACAAAATCTTCCCCTAAACATCTTCATATGTCGCTTTCTCGCGTATTTCATCTCCAGATGACGATCACTTATGACATCAAAGAAAGCCAGGGATTAAGTCTTCCTCTAATTGATATGTGCGGTCTCTGTCGCAAGCCATCAACATATTATCTAGATCTACCTACCGCTTCGCTCTACAACTGTCTCTTCCCACTTTCCACCTTACAACTTCACTCGACGCAGTAAACTTCACGCCGCAAGTGATCGCGAAACGAGAGCGCGGATTAGCAGACATGCGCAATGCCTCACGTGTCGCGCTGACGCGAACAAACATGGCGGGGGGGCCTTGAGTTCGTCGTCGAGGGACAGACAAGATCTTCTGATTGGCTTTCCGGTGGACAGCCTTGAAGATAATTGACGATGACTTAATTCGCGCTTCTTGTATAAACAATGACCTAATTCCTTACGTTTTTGCCAAGCACACCAAATCAGACTTAGATCTGTATCCGGTTTCTGTGAGCTAACGAATGTCTCGTAGTTATGCGACATGAGGGTGTTGTTTTTTTGTGGAATGTCGAGGGAATTAACTACGTCTTTTTGCCGTCATGAGAGGATTATGTCATGTAATTGCACACACATTAAAAACGTTTTCCACAGAAACGACTTCAAAGAATTTTATACACTTTTTAGAACTCCGTCTCCTTACAATGATAAGGTCCTTCTAGGTATTCTATATTTTCGGGTGACGCCATTTGGAAGGAGAAATATAAGAAAAGGAAAAGAGGGAAGACGACGCTCTGAGAATACCAGTCAGCATGCACGTCTTCCCTCAGCAATCCAAAACGCTCCCAGTAGGGTGTATATATAACTAATATTAGTGAAATAGAAAATAAGAAGTGAGCAACAATAGTACAACAACAACAGAGGTGAATACCGGAGGAGGAAAAAAAAAAGAAAATGTGTTTATTAACTAAAACATGGACGTATAGTTATATATTATTTGGGAAATGTGTTTAAAAAAATTGAACGTACTTGTTTCTGGATGTGTTTGAGAGCGAGAGAGGGAGACAGACAGAGAGAGAGAGAGAGAGAGAGAGAGAGAGACAGAGACAGAGACAGAGAGACAGAGACAGAGAGACAATGAGACACAGAAACAAAGACAGAGACAGAGACAGAGTATGGGATAGCGAATAAATAGCTTCGAAAAAGAAAAGGGGAAATCCCCAATAAAGATGGATGGTGAGCATATCGATTGGTCGCTTTATTCTACTCGCAATCTCGAGCGTGTTTTGGCACGGCTAACGAAAGAACACATAAA